CGGATTTTGATGCGGTTTTTTTTTAATAGATAGAGTGATTCTTAAGGAAGGTTTGTATGTATATACATATTGCACCCGTGCGAAGCCGGGGCGGGTCGCTAGTAGTTGTATATAATTGTCAATTCTAGCTGTAAGTTTTCTAAATGTTAAAATAAAATAAAATAAATAAAAATAAATTTATAGTTCAAGAATAGCTACATCGATTTGCCTAAAAATTGGTTGGGTTGGACTTTTTAACGAAGGATTTCCCGAAAATTCTACGGAAACGGCAAAATACGGGATTCCACGTACAAAATCGAGCAGCTAGTTTATTCTATAACGTTTCTTCGTTAGGTAGTTATGTACATACAAGGTCTAAAAACAACTTATAAGTAATTGCCTCTGTACATAATAATTAGGTACATCAATATATAATCAAATTACCCAAGACGTTTTAAGAAGTTTACAATCTGCGTTGCAGTTCACGGCCCTTCCACTTCCCATACAGACAAATTATACACAGTTTTAATAACATGCATATTAATAAATAAATGATATTAAGTAAGTACCTACATAAGCACATCATCGGTACATACGGCAACAGATCAAGCTAGAATAATCCAGTTTATCTTGAACTCGCTTTATATGATTGTTCGGCACATTCGACGGCCAATTTATAATGGATATGCATAGCATCTTGTGTGTTGTACGTGACTTCATGATTTTCACTACAAACGACCTATTTACATTCAAGGAAAACCACCCTTAGCACTTGTAACTATAAAGTCGATTATAAGAAATCAGATGACGTCATCTTATGATAATTGTGCCTACATGTTTTATTATATCAATTAACATAAATGTAATTATTGAAGATCGTGTTTCGTATAACTCCTATAAGTGGGCATTTCCTTACTCTTTAAGTATTAAGAGTCACATCGTCCCTGAACATTGCGGTTGTGCGTAAAAATATTGATAAATAGAATTCTTGATACCGCTATTTTAGGTAACCCTATTAATGACTACAAATTCCGTTTGTACACCAGATTATTCACTTTTGGGATTCAATAATAAACAAAATAAGCCTAAAATGTAATGAGCCTACTGTTACACACATAGCTAAACACTAACCTTGCTGAAAATCTACACAGTCTCTTAGTAATTTTGAAAAATAAACCGTATATTACTACATGCATATTTTTTATATATAAAAAACGTTTCCCCACACTAGGATTTTCTCCTGTGTCGTGGGCGTGGGTGCGTACAAACGTACAAGTTAACATACACATGACACCCAGACCCGGAACAACAATCTGTGGATTACACAAAGCGTTGTTCCGTGCATATATATATAAATATGCATACGATACTTATACCAAAATAACACTCTTTACAATGTTTGCCTGTCTGTCAGTTCGTACTGGCTAAACTTTTAAATGGCTGGACCGATTTTGAAATATTGAAGAGACTTTAATTGGCAGGTAGCTGTTGTTTGTACTAAGGAGTCACATAGGCATACTATTTAGAAAGACGTAGTTTCGGGTACAGCTAGTACAATATACATAAATTAAAAGTACCTACGTCGCCACAAAAATATCTATAAATAATCTTAAAACGAACAATGACCATGGATCCATCCATCAACAGCCTATAAATGCCCACTGCTGAGCAAAGCCTCTTCTCACACGGAGAAGGTTAGAGCGTTAATCACCACGCTTCCTCAATGTGGGTTGGCGATTTCAAACTTATAATTAGAAATTATAAGTCCAGGTTTCCTCACGATGTTTTTCCTTCACCGTTTGTCAGTGGTGTCTAAATAATCTTAGAAAGTACATATAACTCGGAAAAAGTCACAATGGTACTTGCCGTTGGTAGGTTTCGAACCCGCACCCTCATGCATGAGAAGTGGGCGTCTTAAACCTCCGGGCTACCACGACGTGGATGGATCAATATCCTTTATTGGTTCAAGCACATCACGCTATCTCTTTGAAACCTGCATAAATATCTTGCAAATCTTATAACAATTGAAACTACCTCACAAATAGTTCTTCCACTTAACACTTAACATAAAAACCAATGGTAAATAGTAAATACATCACAATCAAAAGCAATTACTAAACAACACGAAGCATAAATGATCTCTCAACCTGTTCATTGATCTTTAATAGTTAAACATTTAACCAGCATTAATAACGGATAGTTTACCAACAAAACAGCTTAATTCCTTATAATTACAAGCGTGATGATATCACGGAAGTTCCTCAACATGACATAAATGGATCTTGCAAAAAGTTTGAATTTAAATATGAAGAAAAACATTTGAAACATTTGAGTTATGGACGGTTCCGTATAATCATAACAGCCTGTTAGAGAGTTCACTTTTGTACTACGGATATGGTGACTATGGGCCTCATCCTCTACAAAAGAGGGATTTGCTTTCATTTTAGTAAAAGGAAATGAAAACTTAAGTAAGGTCCTAAGTGTTAGGTATACTAAGATGAAGAAGTATGAAGCTCTCGTTTGAGTTCGACTTTCGCATGTCGGTTAAAAAAGTTAGATATGATGATTCAAACGATATAATGTAGGTAAAAAAATAATAAATTAAATAGGTAACTGTCAGAGTACTGTCTAACTTCTTTTTTTGGCATCTATAGTCTTGTAAGTATTATAAATATTATTTTAAATATATACCTCAATGTATTGAAATAAAAATTATTTTATCGCATTGATCTCTAAAGCATCTAAAAAACTAGACGCGTGTCTTGATTGCCATTGAACAATTAAATTCGTATAAAGGAGATATAAATTGTTGTTATTGTGCTTGCGATATAAATAACATTTTAAGTATTTATTTAGGAAGTTATTTGTATTGATATAGTAATATTTAATTGTTCCCTTTGTCAAATATGGTATAGCTACTGTTATTATAGCAACGCAGTCGATTACACCAAATGAGTTATAAATGCTAACCCCGAAACCTACTTGTTTTACTTGGGACAACTGGGTAGGGGCCAGGATTTGGGCCTTCGGAAATCTCAGTCATACGTGTCTGTTGACTCAGTCCAAGTGTTGTTTCACGCTACTTTTCTGTGGGACTATGGTCCCGTGGCCCGTGATATCAATTCGGTCGAGTCGGTCAATTCGTGCCGAGGCATGGTTCTTCTACACTTAAATGTTCTTCAATCTGACACATTTTAAGTGTGGAAGAGCCATGCTTCGGCACGAATGGGCCGGCTCGACCGGAGGAATACCATGGCACGGCCTCACAGTAAACCGACGTGCAGCAACGCTTGCGTTGTGTTTCGTCGTGTGAGTGAGGTTATCGGAGGCCCAATTACCCTCCCCTTCCCCCCCCTCTCCAATCCTTGAATCCCAACAATCCTCAAATTCCTAATCCCAAAAAGCCGGTAACGCACTTGTAACGCCTCTGGAGTTCCAGGTGTCCATAGGCGATGCCGATTGCTTACCGTCAGGTGATCCGTCTACGATTACGACCTTATCCCAAAAAAAAACCCACTTTAACACTGACCCTTTATAGGTATTAAATCACGACGGATAGCGTGTGGCTATGACCTACACTACCTACAGCATCTCATTAAATGATATCTACACTATCAGCTGCAGAGATCCAATCAGCGAGGCATCCACCATGAAGCCTGGTAACCATAGTAATAACTAGTCAGCGTCACGGTGCCTGCTGTCTCACAATCAATTATTTACCTACGATTGAGTATTAAGTATTGAGTACGACGGTCCAGTGGTAGAGTAAAGTGTTATTTAAATTTAAAATAAATAAACTAGCTGAGATAATTTCGCATTTAAAACAGGAGTTATGATAGTATGAATTCTGGAATGAAGTTTGTATTTACGTAATTGATAATGGTAATCTAATATCAGCTTGACTCCTGGATTTTGAATCAGGTAACATTTGTTGTGTTAATTTAACAACATCATCATCATCATCATAACATCACGCCTTCCATCCCCGAAGGGGTAGGCAGAGGTGCACATGCACAGCCCTTAATGCCACTCTACAATGTAACACAATTGTAAAGCATTACACAATTCCACCCTGTGTATAGATTCTGTCCTACTAGGTGTTTCAGCCATTGGAAAACTAGGAGAAAAAGTACTCCATGCACATATTTGGTTTAATTAACTCAATATATGTAAGCTTCAAATAAGTCTGAGTAGTCGGACTATTCCAATGAACCTGTTAAACTGTCAAACACCAAGCGGTCACCGGTGACCGCAACCTATTGTTCTATAATTGTGTTTACTATACCGGTACTCGACGAGTTAATTTAGCAGACGTGCTACAACTGAAAAATATTCACATTAACTAAGACAATAATATAACATCACGTCTTCGTTCCCCGACGGGGTATGCAGAGCAGATGTGCACATTACGGCACTTAATGCCACTGTACAATGTAACACCCACTTTTCAGTATTTATGTTATGAATCTCATGTAATAGGGGGTGAGCTTATTACCATATACCGGGCACAATTCCGGACTCCGTGCTACTACTGAGATTTTTTTTTTAAAAACCCGTACCCAACCCATTTTTCGTAATACATTGCCCAGCAGTAGCACTTGCGACCACGCAGCCAACGAGGCAGTCGTTTAACAAAAGTTGCAAACACACCCATTAATTATTACCTTTTTATATATCCACGACCTGTAACGGCTTTATGTTACTAAACCTGCATTGGTAATAACTTGGTGGACTGTTGACCCATCGGCCTACGCCTTCGGTGAATAAAAACCCAGAATATACTTACTTATCTTATGTAACTTACTACCTCATCATGTAGTCATAATGGTCGTGCCATCATCAAATTCATCATGAATTAGACAGGTCGTGACCTGCCTGGACATTAGGAACGCCTTCATTTCATGTTTAGGCTAATTGGCACACGCTATACCGTTTAGGAGCTAGGTAGGAGAGCCTAGTGTCCTAGAGGAGGTTTCTTCTATTCTTCCATTACTAGTAAAACTCCGATGAGAGGTGTGGACCAGAATGATTTTATTAGCCAAACTACGCTACTTATATTTCTATTTACATATTTACAATTAGATAATATCAGATATAGTTAGGTGATAGTTTCGACCAATAGCGGCGCGCCGGCGTGCGCGGGGCGCGCGGGGTGCGGGGCGCCGCTTTGCACACGGCACTATCGGTTCCTTCCGTATAAGTATGACCGCGCGGCGCGAGCGCGCGCATTTCTCCGAGCGCCGGCGTCGAGTGAAGACTGAAGATTACCTACAGATGAACAATGAAGATAGGTACTAGACATGCGCAAAACAGTACGTCAAATAGTAATGCAACATCACGCATCTCTTCCACGGAAGTGATATTACTCCGTAACATCACACATTACCCGATCGATTTTTATTGAAATGATGACCGAGTAATGTTTAAGGTGATATGTGAAGTATTACAGATCATATTGAAAAGTAGCAATAATAACTGCAATAGTTATTACATATCGTAAATTTAATTAAGTACTTAAAAATATTATTATGTTTTTGTATTTTGTAAATAATAATAATAAAGTATTAGGTAATAAACAAATTTACGTTTGCCTTATCATATTAGGTGAAATTGCCGTTACTAGCGTGAAACATTATAAACCTACTTACTGAAGTACTTACCTACTCTATTTTTGAGATAAAACATTAATTTCGATAGAGATATAAGTACCTATAATGTTTTACATTTTTAAGAAACAAATTAAAACAAAGCAAAAAAGCGGCAATTTCATAGTAGGTAGCTCTGTGGTAAAGACCTATTAATATTAGTACCTACTTACTTAAATATTTATTTACAAAACACAAAAACTTTGTTAGCACTGGTTAGCACACACTACGGAAAGAACACGCACGCTTCGAACTAAACAAAAATCTATATATTATCTAAACTAATTTCTAATTACAAGCAATGTAACCTACTCCGCCCGGTAACAAACTTGGCGACATAAAAAATCAAAACATTTGAATACTAGGTACTTGCATAGCACGTGTCACCATTCTCTGTCTCTTTTTCGCGATATGCGCGGCCGGCAAAATTTTACATCGGCTGCGCGCGGTGGGCGCTCGTGCTTACGAACTAAAACGACGCTTACCGAACGTTGCCGAAGTGATGAGTGATGCGAGTGATGTTTGTAACTGATGCGTAATGCGTGATGTTGCATTACGTGTCAAAGTGATATTACTTTTGTACTATTACACGCATTACCTACCCATGTCTACTCACTCTGTGAACTTTTGCCTCAGGAAATCAGATATATTTACACTTGTGTGACTTTGATCAAAATTAATGCACCCAATCATAACTGACACTAATTGATGGGAGTCTACGTCTATATAATGTGCAGTTATTGCAATATAGTCATCATTAGTAATAGATTTCCAACCATCGGTGGTGATACATATAGCCGTAGCTTTTGTGATTTTGCTTTTTACATTTTCTAATAGTTTATTGTAAACTTTAGGAAGCAGAGTTTCCGAAACTGTTTTGCGTGTGGGTAGTGAGTATCCAGAATTTAGCATTTCGACTAATTTTCGAAACTCTCTTTCCTCTACGATTCTCAAAGCGTGATAGCCTTTTGCAATCATTCTGATTAATTGTTCGTCGATCTGCTGAATTCTATTTAGTGGCAGGGGCTTTTTCACCACAACAAATTGGTTCATAGACGGAGCTGGAGGGGTAGTTCTAGAAGTACTACCTATTGTGGCTTGTACGTTCAAATTTGCGGTGCTTGTACTAGCTACTTCACTTACATCAGCCGAGGACACTTCTTGAACAGGTTCTAATCTGTTCATCGATATATTTATAGTGGGATGTACTTGTTTTATGTGCCGGCTTAAGCTACCAATGGAGCTAGAAGACATTGCCAGAATCTTTAAACAATACAGACACTTTGCTTTCTTTGGCTCCGTTTGCTCAAAGTGGTTCCACAGTGGACTAGATTTTCGCTTAGATGCCATTTTTTTTTGTTACAAACAATCACAAAAGTCTCCTCTAATTAGTTATTTTCTTTCACGAAATAGTTCTACAAAAATTTAATTAAGTACTTAAAAATATTATTATGTTTTTGTATTTTGTAAATAATAATAATAAAGTATTAGGTAATAAACAAATTTACGTTTGCCTTATCATATTAGGTGAAATTGCCGTTACTAGCGTGAAACATTATAAACCTACTTACTGAAGTACTTACCTACTCTATTTTTGAGATAAAACATTAATTTCGATAGAGATATAAGTACCTATAATGTTTTACATTTTTAAGAAACAAATTAAAACAAAGCAAAAAAGCGGCAATTTCATAGTAGGTAGCTCTGTGGTAAAGACCTATTAATATTAGTACCTACTTACTTAAATATTTATTTACAAAACACAAAAACTTTGTTAGCACTGGTTAGCACACACTACGGAAAGAACACGCACGCTTCGAACTAAACAAAAATCTATATATTATCTAAACTAATTTCTAATTACAAGCAATGTAACCTACTCCGCCCGGTAACAAACTTGGCGACATAAAAAATCAAAACATTTGAATACTAGGTACTTGCATAGCACGTGTCACCATTCTCTGTCTCTTTTTCGCGATATGCGCGGCCGGCAAAATTTTACATCGGCTGCGCGCGGTGGGCGCTCGTGCTTACGAACTAAAACGACGCTTACCGAACGTTGCCGAAGTGATGAGTGATGCGAGTGATGTTTGTAACTGATGCGTAATGCGTGATGTTGCATTACGTGTCAAAGTGATATTACTTTTGTACTATTACACGCATTACCTACCCATGTCTAATAGGTACGACGAATGCAAGTGCTCCGGCTCCGGCTCCGCTTGCGCTGCTTGCTTAACCAAACCGCTTCTTTCGAAGCGATCGCTCGCGGCACGGTGTGATAACGCTGTTGCCGCAGTGATTATTATCGTTTCTATGCGAGAGAGTCGTAAACTGTCTTTTTCAAGACAATTGGTTTCTTGTTTCTAAAAACGGAGTCAAAACGTAAACTGTCTTTCTCAAGACAATTTGTTTCTTGTTTCTAAAACGAATTAAGTCTAAAACTTTGGTAAAGGTATTGTGGAAGGTATATGGTAAGGTATTCGGTGGTACTGGTAACTGGTAGGTATGTAGTCGTGCGGTGCGGCTACAACCGTTTAGCATGAATCATTCAACGATTAGTATTGTCACGTTCAGCCATATTCATTTTGTACAAATTATCTACTAATTAATAGCGAATTGTATCTGCTCCACTCGTTTTTGTTATTAGCGCTATATTACATTCAATTTTTCGCATTTCCTTAAAGGTTTCCATTGCATACATTTTTTTGAAAGGGGGAAAATCATCGAATGACTTCTCCCGCCTAGGTGAGGTGGGAGGGAGTGTCAGACTCTTACTGACTAAAAACCACCCCGTTCCTTCTCCTGCACGTAACCCGTTAGGTTCTTCGCGACCTAATGCATACATTGGGTACTTATTTTCTAACGGTTATCCTAAATGCGACGCGTCGCGTCGCCGTCCCGTCCCGCCGCGCCGCGCCTGCTGTGTGCAGAGATCTTTAGATACATGATTGACAAGAACCATTTAGTTTTACCCACCACAGATATAACTAAAACTAAAAGAATCCTATGGTTATAGGTACCCATAACTATTTGCTTACAAGTTTATAAAGTAATTAATTTAGTAAAACTCAACACGCTAACGCTGAGTCATATCAACCACCAAACGACGTGTAAAAGTTATCTAACTGACGTAATAAGCTATGTATAATAAATCTGTAGTTAGCTAAAAATAAGTAAGAACTAGAATTTTGTTCATAAACCATAACCCATTGACATTAGTGAATAATTAAATAAAACCTTGATGTACGTCGCTGGATTCGACACGGCACCCATTATACACACGCGATGCGAAGACGAACTCACCTAAAAAATGTATGAGAAGTATCTTGAATACCTAGCAGTGTAGGTGTACTTAAGTTTGGAATAAAACTAGACTACCTAGGTACCTACCAAATAAAAATAATGATCCTCCTATAAGTTTCTTCAAACTAACCATATGCGTCATTAAAATAAAGAATATTAGGGTCATAGTATAAAGAATAGGGTCCTCATTACAATAATGTGTTACATAACATCACACCTTTTATTCCTGAAGGCCTGAAGGAGTAGGTAGAGGTGCACATTACGGCACTCAATCCCACTGTGCAATGCAACAACCACTTTTCACTATTTGTGTTATGAATCCCACTCAGTGCCACTACTAAGATTCTTTTAAAATACATTGCCCGACCCGGGTATCGAACCCGAGATTCCTTGCCCGGCAGTCGCACTTGGGACCACTCGGCCAATGAGGTCTACGTCTAGGTAGGTAGTCAACGAGTAGTATGTGTTACCTACATTCCTATCCTTACTACATAATAATATTATAAATTGGAAAGTGAGTTTGTTTGTTTGTTTGTTCCGCTTTCAAACCGTAACTACTAAACCGATTGCTTTGAATTTTTGCAGGCGTAAAGTTAGAAGTCCGGATTAAATAATAGGGTACTTTATATCCCGGAAAAATTTGATATTCCCGAGGGAACACAAAAGTATTGGTATAGATGTTGCTGTGTGTATTGGTATATGTCACATAGGCTACTTTATATCCTTTTGTGACGCAAGCGAAGCCGCAGGTAAAGTTAGTAAAAAATAAAGTGTTATTGGTCAAGTGGTTGCAGGCTTGATGATTGTTGAATACCAGGATCTCAGTAGTTTAGGTACCAAATTCATAAGTCACGCAGTATCATCAGTTAGTTAGCTTTCATTTCCAAAATTCTGTGTTAAAGGACAGAAATTGAAATTGTACCCAGTGCATTTTTCTATTCCTTTTATTAAAACTAAATAAATGAAATTACTCATAAATTAATGAACTCCATTTCCTATTCCTATACAGAATAAAAGATGTTTACTTTGTTAAATCGATATCCTATTTATTTTTGAGGTACCTAACCGTCAAACATTTCCATAGCAATGTGCAATATATTAACCACAGATATATTAATATTAACTCTCATTTCTAATATCTAGGTGCCTAATAATTACGCAACATAAATCTTTTCATATACACCTTTCTAACATGAAACCGTTTTTTATTCTCCACAGCCTCAACGAAGCCCAGGACTTCAAGCGATAGTGCATCTACAAGCAGACGAGGAATCAGGAGTGGAAGGTGACCTGATCTTCACGCAGCTGGTGCCAAATGGACCAGTGACCATTGAAGGCAACATCACGGGCCTGGCTCCAGGCTTACATGGTGTCCATGTTCACCAAACTGGAGCTGTGAAGGATAACTGCAAGGAGATTGGACCACATTTCCTTGCGTTCTATGTAAGTGATAATTTTGACTTCATTTATTTGTCCTATGTGCTTCGGGCAGTGGGACATCAGGAGAAAAAGTACTCCATGCACATATTTCGGTTTAGTTAACGTTATTTATGTAAGAATCAAATAAGTCTGAGTAATGTGACTATTCCAATTCCAAGGACTGAATAGTTCAGACTTCTCTTCAACGAAATCAATTGTTTTCTGTATTAATAACAATTATATTAAATGTAATATATAAATATCCCGAAACTGGAACCGGAACTTTCCCGAAAAAAATGTTGTAGTAAGGAAGTCTCCACTTTTTGTTCCTTGAAGTTTAGGTAAATTAGCTCAACTTTTTCCGATCACTGGTCATAACTAATCCATACCCTTCATTGCATTCCAGGGTCGACACGGCGGTCCTCGCGACAACGTTCGCCATGTGGGTGACCTTGGCAACATAAAGGCGGAGGAAGGGCCTGTCACCGTCAAGATCATCGATCACCTCATCTCTCTAGCTGGCCCACGATCCATAGTCGGTCGTTCTTTAGCCATCTCTAAAGGCGAAGACGACTATGGCAGAGCCAGCACGGAAGACAGTGCCCTCACCGGGACCTCGGGCCCAGCCATTGCGTGTGGCATAATTGGCTACCTACACTAATATTTCGAAATATTTTTTTCTGTAAATTGTGATATTGAGATTCGTACTTTTGTTAATATATCTGTATGTATATTGTTTTGTTTTATTTCCGAATATTATCATATCAACTTGCTACGTTTTTAGTCAGTAAGAGTCTGACACTCCCTTCCGCCTCACCTAGGCGGGAGAAGTTATTCGATGATTTTCCCCCCAATAAAACATAATCGCGCCTACCATTAATGTTAACGCAATCCGCTCAGCTAATACTTTAGCATGTTATCTCCACAAGGCGTTGGTTTTACATCGAAATCTTAAACGGCCAAGTCACACAACATTAACTATAATAATAAGGAGATCGCAGTAAGGAACCTAAGACATGAAATGACTTCATCTAGAATTCATTACTTTTTAGAGATGAAAGAGCAGCTTCATCGAGACTAGACTAGTTTATTACAGACTTTTTTTTTGGTTGAATGTCATTTCCAGAAAAAATTACAAGTAGAGGTAATTGTAACTAAATTCAACAACAGAAATTGGCTGCTAAGATTCTGTGTTAATCCACCCAATCATCCATTATCCGTACCCAGGTAGGTATGTTAAATCTTATTAAAATTATATTGTACTTTGAAAATCCACGATTACCATTTATCATAAATAAGTATATTTAATTATCAAATAGATCTCTGTAAAGCTTGTTAAAAAGTGCACTATCTTTAATTACAAATTAAACACAAATTATAATTACATACTCAGGGAGTTACCTACCTAGATATGGGTACTTTTTTACAAAACTGATAAATAATAATGCAAGGAATAATATCGTAATTCGTATCAGGACAGAGATTATTTATTTATTAATATTTTCCATTGGTTACTGTATCGTCGAGTGACAAATCAGATTTAGTAGATAAGGTTAAAACATAAATCATGATTTGCGATTAAAACAAGTTAATCGTAAGAACTTGATAATTATGGACTATGGACATAGTCACGTACGTACTGAGTGGTTACCGCTTAATTACTTTAACTATCATAATGCTTGCTGAATTAGTTCTAGACTACATGCGTAACTGCTGACTGCTCAGTCAAGATACAGATTGCAGACAATTAAGATAAAATGTGACATCATACACAATTAATGCTGTTGAGAATTTTAGGATTTATGAGAGGGACGGCCAGGTTTTAACTATCAGTTCGAAAGATTGAAGAAAAGTCGATCGCGGTCCGCCATGTCATTGGTTGTGAGAATTATATCGACCAATGACGGACGAGAATGCGATCGAACTCATTTCGAATGATGTCTACCGTATTTTTAGTCACTAGATGGCATAAATGTAGAAAGAGAGCTTTTGTCCAATCATAACAGTTGTGAAATAATGAACGTGCAATGGCGTGGACACAAACCAATTCCCTATTGGACGAGCGCCATCTGGTGAGCAAAAAGCAAAAATACGGTGTGCCCCGATGACATCTTACCGACTTACAGAATAGCCTATGCTACGAGCACACGAAGTGCTGAAACTCACCCCTTTGCCTTCAGCCAAACGCCACTTTAGCGCTTGTCTACAGAGAGAGTAGAAAATTAAATGTATGGGGATGACACTGACAAGTGTCAAAATTTACGTCAATTTCATATAATTTTGTTTTCTATTCTACATGTAGACAAGCGCTAAATGGCATTTGGCTACACCTCCTTGTTACACAGGATAATATAGGACTAGGACGCCATTTTTTTTAACAGTGTTGTAGAACAAAAGTAGGAGTCACATTGGAAAAATTCCCGAAGGACAAGTGCGATTTCAAGGATTTAATTAAGTATTATCTAGTTGTGTAGAGAGTTGGAGGATATGTAGTATTGCATCTAGTATTCATTAAATTGATAACACATTGAATGCCGTGTCGGACAATGGGGACAGACACTGGCGGAGGACTAGCCTCTAACACTTTTTGTCAGAATAATAACTGGTAACTGCGCTGTCTACGTGATCTCTGTCTATCACAATTCGAGGAATCAGTCATGACGTAATATCAAGTTTAATTTTTGTTTACATAATATTGTACCTACCTACTATTGTAATATTTGTACTTCTATAACTGAATAAGTACTGTGTAATTCACACATACACGCAAATCCTTACAACTTCGTAATTATTATGTTAGTTCAA